GCTTAGAAATCCGCCCGATTTTAAAGGCCCTGTTTAATAGATAGAGCTGAGCTCATCCCACACGTGGGACAAAATCCCGAGAGGAAGGGGTTGTTCCTCTTCTCCCCAGGCTGAGCCAAGGGATAACCCACCCCCTCCTTCCTACCGGCAAGTAGCACCCCGAATCCTCATCCCTTCCTCATGCTAGGTATCGCTCCGAATCTGTGTCCCTTTTTATCACCAAGTATCACCCCGAATCCTCATCCCTTCCTCCTGCCAAGTATCACCCCAAATCCTTGTCCCATGCTCCCACCAGGTACCAACCCCAGTCCCCTCCCCTTCCAGATGCCAAATATCACCCCAAATCCTTATCCCATCCTCCCGCCAGGTATCACCCCAAATCCTTGTCCCATTTTTCTGCCAAGTATCACCCCCAAATCCTCATCCCTCCCACCAAGTATTGTACCTGGAATCCTTGTCCCTTTGTAACCCCAAACATCATGCTCTGAATCCCCACCTGGAATTTGGGGGTGGCACCCTATTTTTCCACACCCCCCTTTGCTGAGCCCCTCATCCCCACAGGATCCCAACTGAGGAGCTGCTGCTGCACACCCAGAAGTTAGTCAAGGACTAAAAGAAGTCCAGAACAGAGCCAGGTTTGTGGCTGGCACAAACCCTGGGCAGGAGCAAAGTGGGGGCTCAGCCCAGGCACCCCCAAAATTTGGGATTGAGCCAGACTGGGGGGATGACGACTTCTCCCTGGATCCTTAGATGTTTGCTTTGCAGCTCAGGGAAATAATTTGGCTGGGGGATGACCTGGGCGTTATAAAAAAGCTGCATGATAGTAAAGAGTAAATGAGGAATGGGCTGGTATGATTGCTGGCAGGCTTTAATTATTCCTTGGGTTTCTGGAGGGTTCAGCCATCCTGGCTTGCCATGCACGAGGGCATCCCTCTTCCAAGGGGTGTGTTTGTGGGGTTCCTTATATCCTGACTTGCTACAGAAGCTCAGGTCTGGGGCAGAGCCCTCAGGTCATACCACAGGGATGGGGAAACTGAGTCACAGAAAGGTGAGGCTCCCTGCTGCAGACCTGGGGCAGAGCCCTCAGGTCACACCACAGGGATGGGGAAACTGAATGACAGAAAGGTGAGGCTCCCTGCTGCAGAGAGGGAGGACTGGGAACATGGGTGTCCTCTTCCCATGACACTGCTGACATGGTCTGGCAGGACTTGTAGGTCACAAAACATGTGAAATACAATTTAGGATCACCAGGAAAAGGAAAGAACTCCAAGGGAGATGAGTCACGGTTTCCCTCGCCTGGGCAGCTGAGTGGTGCCCCATCACCCTCTCCCACCGTGGCTCCCTCCCTTCCCTGCTGCCTGGGATTTGGCACGAGGTTGGCTCCAGACTTGTCCACTTGGGAAAAGGCATGAGTCAGAGATATGGTTTAAGAAAAAAGCTGGATAGTTTTGTTTTGGCCAAAGGAGCCTTGTGCTTGGGAAGGGAAGGAGTAGGGATGCTCTCTCAAGAGCTCTTGGGTAAAACTATGCCTCCTGTGCCTCAGTTTCCCCCTGTGCCTCAGTTTCCCCCTATTCTTAGTGCCTCTTTCCTCCTGTGCCTCAGTTTCCCCCTGTGGGAGCTGAGCTGAGCAGAGCTTCAGGGCTTGATTAAAGGGGTTTTAAGGAATAAGGCACTGATGGCTGAAGCTGTTCCTGCTGCAGCCCAGGAAACGCGTGCCAGGACACTGATTGATTACAAATTTGGCTGTGTCGATGCTAACAGCTCCGGGCAGAGCAGGAGGGCTCTGGGATGTGCTGGGACAGGGATGGGACACGGCAGTGGTGCTGCTGGCTGCGCTGTCTGGGGCTCGTGTCTGCTGCGAGGGAGGAACGTGGGTCACGAGCTCCTGGCAGGGCTGGGGAGGGATGCTCGGGAATCCGGCCAGGGTAGACAGTGGTGCCGGGCAGCTTGCCCTCACCTCTCCCCACATCCAGCTCTGAGGCTCTGTGGTTTAATTCCAAATTTTTCGAGACAACATCATGCTAGAGACTCTCCTGTCACGAATGGATGAACCTTGCAGCCCTCGAGCTTCTGGCAGAGCCAGGAATCTGCAAACCTCTTCCGTTTAGTTTTTAGCAATTTTGGACACTGGGAGTGAGTTGCTTCCTTTTGGAGGATAGGGATGTAACAGTCCAACGCTGCAGGGAAGAGCTGGGAAGGAGAGAAACAAAAGGGGAGGAGAAGCAGTGAGGAAGGGAAGAGGCTCACGTGGCTTCCCCAGGGCACTGGCCAACGCCTTCAGCACTGGAGCTGCCTCTGGCTCCATCAGCTCCCCCGTGCAGGGGATTCAGCAGTCCCTTGGCTGGTGCCAAACTAGAGGTGAACCCCCTCCCATGTTTTATGACAGGGTGGGTGCTCCATGGGGATGGCTGGCATGGCATCCCCTGCCTGATCTCCTCCCCTCTCTTGCTTTTTGCCCCTGCTTCCCAGCACTACCTCAGTGTTTCCTTCTGTTTTTCCTCAGCTCAGGGCACTTGTTCCGAAGGAGAAGACTCCCTGTGAGGACACCCACGGCTGTGTTTGCTTCTGCTTTCTTATCCAGACTTTGCTCATGCCAAGGATGCCCTGCCCACTGCTTGTCCTGGGAGCGCTGGCGCTCAGCCTGGCAGGTGAGTAGGGTTGGGGGGGTCTGTGTTTCACTACCCCAAAGGAGATGTCCTCAGTGCCACGTTCATCCCAATAAATCTGCCTTAGACCTGTGGTTCCTGGTGACAGTGCCCACAAGGTGTTTCTCCTCGTTTCATGGTCCTCTGGCTGCCCAGTGCATCGCCCTGTGGGTGCAGCTCGTATCAGGGAGCACCAGCTCCCACGTGCTACAGCTGAATGGCAAAGCCAAGGGAGGACTAAATCCTGAAGGTTTTGGCTTAACTCGAAGAGGCATCAGGACTGGATCCTTTTGGATTCTGCAGGCAGCAGCAGTCCCAGCCAGGCTGGGTAGTGTTTCTAAAACCTGCTGGCATTTATTATTAGCCAGAGGGAGATGTGACACTCTTGAGTCTGCCTTGAGCCAGGCAGGCTGCCTGCACACTCCTCTCCCGCCTGTCTGCCCGTCTGCAGCCCCTGGCAGGGCTCCTCCGGCCTGGCTGCTTCCCACAGCTACTCACCTCTCCACACTCCTCATCCTCCCCACAGCTACTCATCTTCCCTGCAGCTCTGCTCCTCATCCTCCCTGCAGCTCCTCATCCTTCCCGCTCCTCCCTGCAGCTCCTCATCCTCCCTCCTCAAACTCTTGCTTACAGTGTAATGTCTTGTTGCTGCCCTTGTCCGCCAGGAGGTATTTGCTGTGGGTAAGGGCTTTGCTGTGCCCTGCAGCAGTACTGTGGTTGGATTATAAAGCCAATCCTTGGTCTGAGGTGAGATTTTTCCCCTTTTCCTCCCTGTTTTGGGGCTGGGGGGCATTTGTGCCCTTGGTCTGCTTTGGGGGATGTTGGTGCCAGTGGACCAGCTCTGAGCATGGAGGGTCTGACAGCCCTAGCATGGTTGGCATTGCTCCCTGATGCAACGGCAGGGCTGGCATTTTGCCATGGCACTAGGACATGGTTGGCATCATGCCGTGGCACTGGGATGAGGTTGGCATCATGCCATGGCACACTGGTTGGCATCATGCTGGAGCACTGGTGCCATCTAGCGCTTGCCAGCCTGGCCAGAGCTGGCTCACCCTGGGGACAGGGGACTGTGTCCCCTCACTGTCACGGACTGACCTCCTCTTCCCATGGGGATGAACCTGGCTGTGTGTCCCAGAGGCGTGCAGGTTTGGCTGCCCATGGCTGTGGTGGCAGCTGAAGGCAGTGGTGCCCCTGGTTTGGTGCTGGATGTGGAACTGCCTCCTTTCTGGCAGGGTAGGCTTGGCTGGGGATGGTCTTGAGATGCCACCTGCTCACAGGTTCCTCCCATAAGCATCCCTCCACTTGCTTAAATGTTATCCAGATGGAAAATTAAGGAGGTGCTTTGGCAGGTCTCACCACCACATGCTTTTGCCCTTGCCTTCCTCCCACAGGTGCCATGGAGATCCAGGTCCCGGATGAGCCTGTGGTGGCCCTTTTTGGCCAAGATGCCACCCTGCATTGCTCTTTCTCCCCTGAGGCCAACTTCAGCCTTGAAGACCTGAGCCTCATCTGGCAGCTGACAGACACCAAGCGCTTAGTCCACAGATTCTCCGGTGGCCGGGACCAGCTGGAAGACCAGGGTGGGGTCTACACCAACCGTACATCCCTCTTCTATGACCAGCTGCCCCGGGGCAATGTCTCACTGCTCCTGCGACGCGTGTTGATCTCGGACGAGGGCAGCTTCACCTGCTTCGTCCGGGTCCGGGACTACAACAGCGCAGCTGTGACATTGCAGGTGGCAGGTGAGGGAGGAAGAGTTGGGGTGTCCCTATGTGTCTCCTTAATGAGAAGGGTTCTCCATCATGCTTTGTGGAGCCTCTTTCTCCACCCTTGAATTCAGGTCTCTGTTAGAGACCAACCAGCTGCATCTCCCCGAAACTTTGCTGAGGAGTGCAGTCCCTTCCCTGTGGTGATGGAGAGGCTCCCAGTTGAGAGGCCACCTGGAAGCATAACCATAAATGAACCAAAGCTGGGGAGGCTTCAGCTGGTTGGTCTTGTCACCTGGAAGAGTCTGTTCTGGGGCGTTGCCAACCTCACTGGGTTGCTTCAGGTCCTGATCCTTTGGTTGTCTCCATTGCATTATGCCAACTGTTCTTTCTCTTGCAGCACCCTACTCCAAGCCCAGTGTGAACCTGGAACCCAGCAAGGACTTGAAGCCAGGAGACCTGGCAGTCGTGACTTGCCACGCTTCCCGCGGCTACCCCGAGGCCAACGTCCTCTGGCAGGACAGCCAGGGCAACAACATCACAGAGAACATCACCACGTCCCAGGTGGCCAACGAGGAAGGTCTCTTTGATGTGCACAGTGTCCTTCAGGTGCTGGTGGAGCCCAGCATCACCTACTCCTGCCTGGTGCAAAACTTGGTGCTGCAGCAGCATGCCCATGCGTCTGTCACCATCACGGGTGAGCCAGAGAGGGCCAAACCGGGGGGAGGGAGGGGTGGGCTCTGGCTGAAGATGACATTGGTGGCACTGGGATCCCTACTGTGACCCAAAGCCACCCTAGCAGTTTGTACCCCATATCTCTGCTCTGCCTCTCTCGCCCCATGGACCTACGAGGGTGACTTGGGGCTGTGCTATCCTCCTGTCACCCCACACCAGCATCCCAGTTAGAACCAGTGTCCTTATTTCTTTGTTTCCAGCTTTGCTCCTTGCCCTATCCCAGTCCAAACCACCAGCACAGGGCATGGCAGGTGTCTTCTCCTTAGCCTGTGGTTATAGGATGCTCTCAATTTGGGGATCTCCATCCCAGCTGCACCAAGCCTCCTGCAGGAATACAAGCTGAGGAATCCATCAAGCATGTTCAGCCTTGCTGCTTTGCTCCGAGCTCCTCCCACTGCCCTCCTGAAGCTCTTTATAGCCTCGTGCCCTCCCCAGTAGCATTGATTAGTGTTTAATTACCCTTGTCATGGCATTTGCTGGGTTGTGGAGATGCTCCCCTGGTGGAGCATAAACTTTTTAGCTGGAGGCACCAGACCTGCAGGAGCACTTTGCATGGATGCTGCTGGCTGGGGACAGAGGGGTGGCTTTTGGATGGGCTCCGGAGCAAATGCTCAGCCTTGGGGTGACGTCCATGGAGGGACAGGGTTTGGGGCAAGACTTTATTTGAAGAAGGAGCAGTATTTTGGAGAAAAAAATCAGATTCCCAGTACTGTGGGTGATATTCTGGGAATGGCTTCCTACTGTCAGAGGGCAGGGGTAGGTGGGGTATTAGGAAGAAATTCTTCCCTGTGGGGGTGCTGAGGCACTGGCACAGGTTGTCCAGAGAAGCTGTGGCTGCCCCAT